ATAGTAAAAGAATGCTTTATATTCATCTTTCTCAACTCCTATTCCATATTGGTAACAATTTCCAACCATATTTGTTCCAGTAACGTTTCCCATATCTACAGATTTTTGATAATAAATGAATGCCTTATTTACATCCTTTTCGACTCCAATTCCATGAAAATAACAAAGCCCAATACAAAATATTCCAAAAAAATTGCCCGCTTCAGCAGATTTTTGAAAAGTATTAAATGCTTTATGTTCATCTTTTTCAACTCCAATTCCTTTCAAATAAAAATGTCCAACACCACATATAGCATAAGCATCACCCATCTCTGCGGATTTTTGACAATAAATGAATGCCTTATGCTCATCCTTTTCAACCCATTTACCAAAAGGATAACAATTGCCAAGAATTCTTAGAACAATAGGATTGGTATGATTATTTAAGCAAAAATTGATAATATTAACGGGATTTTGTTTCTTATTTATCAAAAATTGTTCTAATGTATCTAGAATTAAATATTGAAATTTGCCTTTTAATTGTTCTTTATCAAATATATTACACATTTCTTTAATAATTTCATTAAAGGAATTCTGTGAAAAATCTTGTGCCTTATCTTCTGAATACAATTGAGTAATATTTTCGGCTATTTGAGTAATATCTGATGAGCTGTTGATTTTTTCAGGTTGGTCTACAAGCAAATTGGTATAAATAGGCATTTTGACGCAAAAATATGGTTACTTTAAGTTGTTTAGAAGAGGTATTTAATTGAAAAAAAAAGATGAAAAAATAATAAAAACGAAGATATACGTATATCTTTTATAAATTATGAATTTATATAGTGACGATAAATAAATAATCTGTTTAAATAAAAAGTAATGATATGCAATATTGGGATTAAGACAAGCTAAATGGAATTTTTTGCTAAATAGGTGAAGCCGTCGGAAAACTTTCCAAAAACATCTAAAATGCAAAAATTCAATTCGAGATCTATGACAAAACCACGACAATCTATTGAAAGGGCGCTTAGATTTGGCGTGTGGATGGTTCAAGGTTTTGTTGTTTACACTTCTTAGAGTTTATGATAACGCTTAGTAGAGAAAGGAAGCAGATAATTAAAAGGGACGGTTAATGATTTTTAGTGGGGGGCGTAAGTTCCCTTATTTATACGAAGTAATCTATCAGATTAATCATATTTCATAAATCAAATAAATCCCATTAATCCAATTTTCTCCATTAATAGAACTTATCTAATTTATCAACATGTATTATACCCTGACACGTCGTGAATAAGGAATTATTTCCTCGGGATTTTTTGGCTCCGAAAGGAATCGAAAAGAAAAAATCCGGAGTTTAATACCCCCGTAACTGGAATGAATAAATTATTCTTCCGTTTTATTAATTGACAGTTTCCAACTGAGACTAAAATTAAGTCTTGCAAAAATAACACGTAAATTTACTTATAATTGATGTTCCCGGCATGTAGACTAGGTAAAATTTATATTAAAATTTTCTAAAAGTTATCTGCTAAGCTATAGGTAAATTTTATAGTGTTTTTAAAAATGGTCAAGTTTTTACAGTGCCTGACAAAAGTTTCCCCGCACCTGTAATTTCCGAAATTTCTTGCGTAGAAGCTTGAAATTTCATACAGGCAAGGGGCATCACGTATGTAGATCATACTAAACTTCTTCGGGCACTGTATATAGTATGCCTCTTCCTTTGCATAAGCGATATGAAATCGCCTTTTTAACCAGCCACCCGAAGGGCCCCAAGCTCTCATTTCGTGAGACAGCAATGCAGGTTTGCTGTGACAAAAAAACAGTGAAAGAATGGGCAAAAAGGTGGCAAGAAAGCAAAGACTTAAGCGACAAACCAAAGTCGGGTCGCCAAAGAGCCACGACACAAAGACAAGACAACTGGATTTTGAAGCTGGCAAAAGAGAATGTAGATATTTCAGCACCAGAAATCCGCCGTGAGTTTCTTAAACAGAATGTAGACATTCACGTGTGCACCATTCAACGGCGCCTTGGTGAAGGTGGGGCCCGCTATTTTGGAAAACTCGCAAAGCCATTGCTCGGAGAGAAGCATCAGAAAAAATGGCTCTCATGGGCGAAGAAACATAAGGATTTTGATTGGGATACCACGATATTTATGGATGAGATACGTTCTGCTTGAATCAACAGTTAAAAAAGGATTGGCAGTTCATTGGGGCAAGGAAAATAACCTGTTCCGTCAAGCATCTATTGAAAGTTCATGTATAGGGGTGTTTTTCTTCTTCGGGCTTTGGAAGGTTAGTCTGCTTTACACGAAACCTTAATGTGCAATATATGACCACCCTGTATGAAACGCCCTTCTACTTTATGCTGTGAATCTTTTTGGTGAAGGTTGTGATAGTTGGATTCTGAGAAGGACAATGACCCAAAGCACTGTTCGAAAATCGTGAAAGCACGGAAGAAGAAAAATGATGTCACAGTTCTCCCCTGGCCGTTGATGTTACCTGACCAAAACCCGATTGAGAATGTCTGGGGACTTATAAAATGAACCTGGCAAAAAAAAAATTAGAAAGCTTAGTACTCTGAAGATGCAGATAACCAAAGAATGGAATCGATTGTCTAAAGAGTACGTGGCTAATTTGGTAAGGAGCATGAGGCATCGTGTGGAGGCCCTAATTGAATCTAAGGGTGATTATACAATGCATTAATTTTCATGTAATTTAATACTCTTAAATAAAAAAATTTTTCCCTACCATATCTCTGTGCCGAGTTATAGGAGTGGGGTTTCTTTTGTCAGGCACTATATAGGGTAAAGTTTTTTATACTTTACGGCTAATACAAAGGTAAAATTATTAATAATATATAAAAGGTTTCTGAATAGTAGTATAGGTAAAAAGATATATATACACAATAAAAATTTTTTTTTTTTCTTTGATAACTGCATACTAAAAGTTTTATTAAATTTTTAACGCTTTATCACAAATACATGCTTAGGCAATTCAACAAGGTAATTAGACAAAGGCAGGCTGTCCACTACAGATGCCCAACCTTGGTTATCGCACTGATATTGGCCACTATACCCCACACATGGTGGCCGTATTTAAAGATATAGTATAGCCTGGGCTTAGCTCCCACCTTAGGACCTCTTTCCTTTTAATTCTTCTTTCCTCTCAAGGGGCACAAGACAAAAGAGGAAAAAGTTTAAACTAAGAAACTATAAAAACAGCCAAAAAAGAAAAACAAACAAAAAAAAGAAAAAAGAAACAGATTTTGAAAAAGAAAAAAATATGAAAAGAAATCTAAGACCCTAAAGACACTATTATAACCCATGCATAGTTGGTAAAAATTATATAACAAATGCAATATTTGTATATCTCTGTTGTAAAGCTTTGCTTTAATGTTAAAATTTACTTTCCAACCCTCCCACCGACTTCGGATGGCTCTGTTGCTTGTTCTAATTCATATCTCTAGCCAGGTGCTGCCGCCGTCCGAGACCCATATCTCAAGCCACCTGCTGCCGTAATTAGAGTTCCCAGGCTGAGTCCTGTGAAGTAGTGCTATATCCATCTGTAAACAAACATGTGGTTGCATTCTACTAGACCGTCCAAATTTGGAAAGTAAACAATGCCGATCTTTCATAGAGAGTAAGCCAAATCTCCACTTTTTGTCGAAAAATTTTAGAAAAAAGGCAGGGCAGCGAAAAAAGGGTAGTAGGAACCACTTGGTCAGAAAAAAGGAGTGTGGCTTAAAGAAAGCCCATTCTTTACTGTTTCCCAGTTATTTTGCAACTGATAGCTTTGTCAACGAAAAGTTTGAACTTCTATCACCTCCACCTATTCACCAAAATTTCGTATATGTGGGCACCATTATCTGCCAGTTATCTTGTATACAGATGCTTTTGGCTTGCATGTCAAATATATAAAGAAGTCCCCAAGATAGCAAAAGGTTAATCTTTATAAAAACCGCCCTGTTGAAGTCACCTCACTACAGGTTACTACTCTCCAGTATCGAAAATAGGCTTTTCTTTTTGTCGGAAAATTTGGTCCAAGTGATCGTCAGGAAGAGTATATAATGCAAATCGTATATGATAAAATATATAATATATATATATATATATATATATATACTATATAAATTAATGTTACATCATCATACATATAATAAATTAAATTTGGTTGTGCTATTTGTATTGTTTACTGCTATATATTTACCATTAACTGAATTTGAACATTTTGAGAAATCTCATTCATAATATTGTGTAAAATTAATTGTTAGATAGAAAAATGATTTATTTTTTTTAGTTTGTTTATTTTCATTAAACTCATATAATGAAAAACAACGAAGAATATTCACAGCAAAAAGAATATATACAAACAACTATTAATTTTTCTATATCATCCATTAAAAATAGTAAAAATAAAGTTATAGACCATGTTAGAGAAATTGAACTTTCTAATACAATAAATCAACTATAACAAACAACTCTTAATTTTCCTTCTTCAATTATTTATAAAGAATATTCTTTTAATGAAATCGATACTGATTCATTCACCAATTAATGATAATGATAATGAAATAACTGATGATAACAAATCTGATAATGATGATAACTTAGACGAATATAGCAATGATGAATATAATAAATTTCTACTTGATGGAGAACCTCATATGTGTGCTAAAGAAAAGAAATTGTGTAGATATAAATATTTTTTATGGCTAATTAATCCAAAAAAGATTCAGTACATATGTGGGAAAGAATTAAAGTTAGATAAACGATATTCTCCAAAAAATTTAAAAATGTAATAAGATTTTTATTTTATATATTTATATTTGATTTATTATTAAAAAGAAATTTAACTAATTATTTTTTTAGACATATACATAGCAAAAAAGCATGCAGTGCTAAAGTACGGTCAAGCTAGTATCAAAAAATATTTTAAAACTAGTAATGCAGAATTAGTATCAAAAAGACAATCTTATTTATATCAGGGCTTATCAAGTAATAAAATTAAACAACATGTACTAAAATGCCCATCGATTTTGGTAGTTCAAAAAATGAAACAGAACTTGCTTGTCAATTATTTCCACAAAAACTTAATAATGGCTATTTAGTTTATAACAAATTAAGTTATAATGAATGACAAGAACTTTATAAAGTACAAAGAGCACATGCATCATGAATTTTAGATATAGGAGATTTATCAGTATCAAGTGCTAAATGTAAGAAATTTACTCATCATGAATCCAAGATATGTGAAGAATGCAACAAGTTAAAGAATAATTCACATTTTCGTGATGCAATTAGCACAGTATGTTTGTTTTTGATTATTTTTTATATGTAACAAATCTTAACAATATTAATTTTTTAAAAATTTTAATAATTAAATTTGAATTTATTATAGACATGTGCAACCGAAAAAACTTTTAAATATACTACAAAATTACATCTTCAAGATAATAGATTGGTTCAACTCTTAGGTAATAATAAATTAAAAGCTTTGTATAGAGATACAATTGAAAATTCAAATGAAAGTCAAATGTGGTCAAAATTATCTGAATATGGAAAAAAAGATGCATTTAAAACAGATAAAACATTTAGTGAATTAGTAGAATTAATACTTCAAATAAAAGAAATTCAAGAACGTAGAAAAAGTAAAAGAGAATTGCGATATTCTAAACATCTTTACTACTTTTTTAGTTTATTATCAGATAGTAGTCAGGAATATAGTATATTTCACAAAATGTTAGGTGGTATGGATCCACGATCTATAAGGTAATAAATTTGGTTATATAAAATTTAATATAATTAAAACAATACTATAATGTAATTATTATACAATAGATATTTGCATGTTCGAATTATATTTAACCAATCCTAACCTTATATATGAGAATATAGCAAGATTTGCTCATATTGCACAGGCTTAAAGTGGACAGAACCAGTTGTTGCAATGACAGATTGCACTAAAATTTGAGCCAAATTAACCTATTCACAAAAGTTGAGATGTATATCGGATCAACTTTAAATATTGAAGATACAAATATATTAACATATGAAGATATACATTTAAAAATTAAAGAAATTCAAAATAATAATCTTGTTGCATCACAAGTAAGATGCATTGTTTTAAAGGTAATTTAATTATAATAATTTCTATAATGATATTATTTATAAATTAAAGTTAATAAAAAATATTTATTTAATAGATTCTTATTAGCAAAATTCCTCCAGTTGTTATTGCTTTGTTACCAACAAAAGGTAGCGATACAATTCAAGAAATTTTACAATTTTAAAAAAATTGTTAATTCAATTAAATATTAATATATTAAGTATAGGTGCAGATAGTGCAATTACTGAATTTAATGCACAGACATTACTTATACAAGGTAGCGATATACAAGAATTTATTGTATATGAAAATATGATTTACAATATACATTTTCAAGCTCCTATTTATTCTGGAAAACCTATAATTCATATTCAAGATCCCAAGCATGCTAAAAAAAATAGTAGAAATGCAATTCATAGTGGAGCACGTCTTTTAGTTTTAGGGAATGATACTGTGTGATATGATCAAATTTATCAACTTGTACAAGAAGAAAATTCAGCGCTTTATATTCGAGATATTATAAATTTAGATAAGCAAGATGATGGAGCTGCATATAGATTATTTTGCTCAACTTTTTTGGCTCAATGTCAAAATAATGGAAGCTTAAACGATAATAAAACAGCTTTATTTGTATATCTTTTTTTTTTGGTAAATAATTTTTTAATAATTTGTATTACGTTTTTATTTAAATTTTAATATGAATTTTAAAGTAAATTTAATAAATTATTTGATTTATTTCTTAATTAAAACATTCTTCATAAAACTAGAATTATAATGGCAATGCATGCATTTTTTTTCTACATGCATGGAAAAATTATATTGATTAATGTTCTATATTACATTCAGCAAAATGGTATAATATGAATAAAAGCTGTATTTCATCACAAAGTTTTAATATATTTTGTAGTCTGGCAGAATCATTAGTTTTGCTTATTTTAGCTCATAGAGATTACTATCTAAATCATATGTTTTTTCCTTGAGAACATGATACAGAAGCACTTAAACACTTATTTGGAATTGCAAGACAATTGATGCCAGACTTTTCTTATTATGAATTATATAAGATATTAAATCAAGTACAACATAGAGATAATATTTTACATAGTGAAAATATCTTAGATACTCAAGAAAAAAAGTTTGCATCAGGTAATTAATTTTAAATTTTTAAATTTTTATTATATTTTAACAACTTAAATATTTATATACTTTGTTTAATTATAGGTTACATTTTTGACTTTAATACTTCTATTTTAGAAATAGATATTGATAAGTTGCGGAATTGGCCATCAAATGATGAAATAAATGATGCTATAAGAATTGTATATAAAAATGCAAATTCATTTTCAAATCTTCTTAATATGTATAAAAAATTTTAAAAGATAGTTACATGGAAATAGATTTTTTAACATTTAAAGCTAATAATCAACCAAAAAGTAAAATATTTCAAATTCAAACTATTAATCAAGCTGCAGATGAGTTAAAGAGAATTTCGCAATTAGATGATGCTCTTAATATTTGTTTTGAAATCAATAATGATGATACTTCAAAAGATTTAAATAATGAATTAAATTATGAATTTGTACAAGATTTATTAGAAGTTAATATTACCGTAGTTGAAAATTTTATAGAAAAAACTGAAATTAATTATATAAATAATAATTCATATTCGAAAGTTTTGCAGGAATTAGATTATAAGTATGAAGAAAAAATATTTAGAGATAATGGAAGTTGTGATATTTTTTTAATATTGGAGTTACAAAAATCTTATGAGGCATTTTCTTGTTTAATTGTTCTTGTAGAATACAAACTCAGGCTATCAACTTAAGTCAAGAATCTCAAACTGGAATTAACCAAAATTTAGCTAATCATTTAG